AGATACCTCATTGGCTGCTGCTGTCAAAAGTATGTTCCTGCAGTAGAGGAGGCTGCACTTTCAAGGCCGCATATCTAGGACCCTAGTTTTTCATGATAGCGTCACCAAGCCAAATACTACTTTCTATTATAGTTTGAAAGGTTTTATTCTACCCAAATACTACTTTATCGAAGTACTTCTATATAGAGTTTCATGTTGTGCAATTTGTGTAATTGGCTCATTATACTATATAAATATGGAATCATATGCTATGCCTTTGCAGTCACTAGATCTGAAGATATTTGGAAAGTCGGACAGAGACAAAACAAGGACTATTCTAGGGGCAGAATCAAGTTTTTCTATATAAACATCAAGCAACAACCAATTAAACAAGATGGTTTCCTATCCCTCTGGTTATAAAAGGACAGTTCACATGGGGACAATGGATCTGTGTCTGAGGGGGATTATGATTAACGTTAGACCTTGAAGAAAGGGTGCTGGATCCTCTTCTGTAGTCAATAATAATAATAAAAAAAGAGACTAGGACAGCACTCCAACTTGAATGGATGGATGGAATGTAACTTGCCATTTGGATGCCATTCTTCAGCATTCATTCTTGAAGACTCAAAATGGTATCAATATCAATAAAAAAAATATTAATACAACAAAAGAAGGGCCGAGCTCATATACCAGAGTGTAAGTTGCAGGTCTGATCCAGATATGCAGGAACAGACACTTTGTAATCCTGGGAATACATGTTAATGATCATCTCAGCCTTGAGCTCAGGAAGGGAGAAAAAGGAGCATCCCAGCTGAATGTTATCTAATCTTTCGTAGGCAGCAAAGCAAGTTTTGTCGGCATCATTGTTAAATGGATCATACAATTGGTCTCCACTGTTATTCAGGTCAAAGGTGTACTGAGAAGAAAAATAAATTGGCTCATAATAAAATGCACAATAATATGACTATAGAAAACTTAAAAGAAATTATACATTTTGCTTCAACATATTGTACATCCTATACACATCGATGCTTAATGTACTCTTTTCTGCTCTATGGAAATGGAGTTTTCATGCTGTGATGTTGGTAGACAGTGCTTGTGTTTTCCACTTGTGACATCATGGTGTTATGTCATGTCTAACTGAACTGCATTAGGAGTTATCTGTGCACCATTGATAAGAAGAAGATATACTTTATTAATCCCCTAGGGGAAATTGTTGTTGATATGTTGATAATCAGCATAATGTAACTCTGTCTTCCAGGTATCGTCGTTGTTGGGATAAATCGACCAAAAGCCAAAAATGCCATAAGCAAAAATCTGGTTAAAATGGTATGTATTGCTATTTTCTCTTGTATTTATTTGAACATGCTGATAAAGATGAGCCAGTGATTGATAACATAAGTAAAGCTGGAATTTTGCTTATCTGGGCTGTATGTAGGCTAGTGTGGTCACTCAGAGACATTCACATGGCATTTTGAATTAGATTTGAGATTTGGAAGGTGTGCACATTGGCTCTAAGAGGAGCCTCGACAACCTGTGGTTACCAGCAATACCCCAAGGGTACATTTGCAGAGATGTCTATGTACAGTCAAGCCCAAAATGATTCATACCCCTGGCAAATTTTGACTTAACTTTACTTTTATTCAACCAGCAAGTTTGTTGTCTGTTGATTGCGAAAGTGACACAGGGTGGTCTTCCCGGGGAACGATAATTAAGACGAAGTGTCCACAAGGAGGCATTCGATTGTGGGGAAAAAAGAATATTTCTCAGCCCTTTCCATTATACGATTTGAACGAATGAAGGAAGTGTATCGTCAAGAACACTTTCAAAATAGAGCAGGTCTAGACTGAGAACTCCTACTAGTAACATTTTACCAGAGACCCCAACAGTACCACCATGGAGCGAAGCACTTGGCGACGGCGGGCAAAGAAAGAACTGCCTGTTAACGAAGGCAGAAACCTAGGAAGCAAGTTCTTCGGCCTCTAGGGTTGGTTCACCCTCAGATCCTTTTCAGCCTCCTCCATGCAGATTCATAATTTGCGATTCAAGTCCAGGACATCACTGGCGCGTGGGCAACTGCCCAAAAACAGAAAAAAGAAGACATGTTAATGTTTGTCGTTCCACGGCTACCATTTTCTTTCCACGCTTTTCTGGCTGTGTGTGTTCTGAGAGATCCGTTGTGTGCCCTGAAAGTGTCCGACTGGCTGCCCTAAGGCTGAGAGTTTGCCCAGCAGTGCGTCGGACGTCTTTGTATTTTTTAAGGAATGATTTTGCGACTTGGTAGCCAGCGTGGGTGTAACTTGACTAAAACATTGTGAGAGTGATGCCTTACTGCCTCTTTCGCTGACTGGCGAGCAGGCCAGCAATGCACAGCGCCACAGTGTGCCTCAGTGGAGCTCGCGCTTGTTCTGTAGCCACTGACTGCTCCACAGACCAACTTGGCAGGAGTGCCTGTTTTGGTCACCTCGTTGAGTTGATTAAAAATGTTGTTCAGATGCAATGTCAGGCTAGAGTTAGGAAATGGCTTGTAGGAAATACAGCTTCGGCACCCATTTGGAATGCGGGTATAGACACTTTCGGATTTGGCCCATAGACTAGACAGTTTGGCCAAAGGGTATGAATAATTTTGGACATGCCACTTTTTGTTCAGATGTAAATAAAAGCTGAGAAATAATGTTTTCCACAATGATGCCTCTTGTACATCGTCTTATTATCTTCTGCGAGATGCGTGTGTTGCGTGTGTTGATTTCCAATCAAGAAAAAACTTGTTAGTTGAATAAAAGTATAAGTCAAAATTTGCCAGGGGTATGAATCATTTCGGGCATGACTGTATATCGTTGGAGAGACGTTCTTGTATGTCTTAATTGTCTTCAAGCACTGAGGTTTCTTTTTTTTCTGATCTCTTATCATTTCTCGTCTTGAAATGTTAGGGGTGTAAGAAAATATTTCTATACTTGATTATCACAATGTTTTGTGATATTGTATCAATTCACAAAAACATTATTGATTTTTGTGTTCAAAATCCAATCAGTAGATAGCAGTGTTGTAAACATAAACTGAGGGTTATGATGTTTGATGTTACAGTGACTGTGATAAATACAAATGCAAATCCTACTGTTCTGGTTGCATAAAAAGGTCAACTTTTTTTAATGCATATGGTGGTGTGTTCTTCCTGTGACGCTTTTAAAATAATATTTTAAAAAATCGCAATATCTCCTTGCTTACAGTATCACAATATCTTTGTTCGTTCGAATTGTTCCCCTGTATTGTGATATGTATTGTATCACCAGATTCTTGCTAACACACAGCCTTATAAAAATATGCTGTTTTTCTATTATTATTATTATTATTGTCAAGCAACATTGAGTGAATTTTACATTTAAGTTATGAGACATTTATGAAATGTTATTTATGAGCAATTCTTTGAATAAAACAAAGAAAATGTGTCTTCCAGATGTCCGAGGCTGTGGAGGACATCAAGAAAAACAACAAAGTGCGCAGTGTCATTTTATGCAGTTTGGCTCCTGGGATCTTCTGTGCAGGTACACTGTGTTATTGCATTGGAAGGATTTTCGATTGCTAGAATCTGATGTTTGGAACATATTCTGTGTGCAGGTGCAGACCTGAAGGAGAGGGCCAAGATGCACCAGAGTGAAGTTGGACCATTTGTGTCCAAAGCAAGAGCACTTATCACAGAGCTGGGTAAAGAATGATGAGTTCAGTGACTGTCCATGACTTTATTGTAAATTTATTGACTATTCTACACAATAGACAGTGATGCATTGTTCATGAAAGATCTCAAGTAATTCTGATGTCATCATTACTTGGAAAAAGTGGAAGAAACTTTCGTTAATAGAGATAATCCAGTATCAGAATTAACAGTGCTGGAGCTATAGATTATCAAATTCAACCTGTACAAAAATCTTATTTAATAAAAGATAAATCTGATTTTTGCACAGATTTGTGTGTGCGGATGCTTTAGTCCCCTAAAACTTTTGTTAATCAAGAGAGTCAGTGCAGCACAATTAGACTTTATATTGTGATGGTCATGGTTTTGTACCTCAGTCATACTGTTATAATAGAGCTTCTGACAGAGAGCTATATCAGACAGCAGTTACTATCTTCTCACCTGGCTAAAGCTAGGAACATATTTCAGTTGATTATTTTTCAGTTCAATTCAGTTTTATTTGTATAGCGCCAATTCATAACAAAAGGAAAAACTTCCTTTTAAAAGGCAGAAACCTTGGACATACCCCTGCTCTAGGTGGTTGGCCATCTGCCTCGAACAGTTGGGGTTAGAGAGGGAGAGGGGGGTAGAGGGGTAAAGAGAGAAGGACAGAGACAGAGACAAAGGTGCACAGCAACAACAGTAGCAACAACTATACTAATAAAAAATGACTTTTGATCAAATATTTATAGTGAATAGAGTAAGCTTTCAGAGAGTCTCTGGGTAGGTCATTGTTTTCTAAATAAAAAGCCCTGGAATAGCAAGCACTGGGGAACTTGATGTTGAGTAGTCGTCTGAAGTAGTTTAAGTAGTACCAGGGTTCCCACACATCCTGGAAAACCTGGCTATTAGGGATTAGTCTTCCAGTCATGGCAATTAATAGTGACCAAATATCCTGTCCTAGAAATTTTTTGTTGTATTGTAGCCCCTCACTCAGATTGCTTACGTAAACCTGGGTTAGAGGAAAACTGTAGTAAACTGTAGACAAATCAGTTGAGACGCTGCAGAAAAATTGGCTGCAACAGTGCAACCGTAACACAGTGTCCCATAAACACTGATTTCTTAAAGCTGCAGTAGGTAAGTTCTATAAAAAAATATATTTTTTGTCATATTCTCTGAAACGTTCACTCTTTCCTGACAGTAGTACATGAGACAGATAATCTTTAAAATTCCTAGTGTTCCAAATGCTATTAACAAGAATCAACTGGGCCTGAATGAAAACAACCAGTCAGAGGCATGTAAGATAGAAAGACAATTCAGGTTGGAGGCTTAAAGATAGTTGATTATTAGGTCTCATTTCCAGTTCCCAAAGTGTCTGTATTTGACTACCTGGAAATGTAACTCAACAATCAACTATCTTTTTGGCTCGGATTGTTTTTTTTTTTGGTTCAGAGCACTACAAGGAGCCAGAGGAACAAATGTTATTTTTTATTTTTTTTTTATTTTTTACAGATTAGCTGTCTCATGTACCACTGTCAGGATATAAGTTTTAGCACATATTATAAAAACTTATTTTTATAAAAATGACCTACTGCAGCTTTAAAAACAGCGGGAACCCTGAATATGTACATTTTCTCATCTCTTGGCCGGCTTCTTTTCTCTTCCAGGTAACCTGCCGGTACCAACAATTGCTGCAATAGATGGGGCTGCCTTAGGAGGAGGCTTGGAAATGGCGCTTGCTTGTGACATAAGGATTGCCTGTAAGACTCAGTGGACTGAGGTTTGAGGTTAAATAAGTCTGCCTCTGGTCTGGATTGATTCTGTACCCACTTCCATAGGCCCCTCCTTAATCTGACAAAGCTGCCAGATAAGATGTTACGTAAAGATAATGATATGTGTTGGTGATATGATTTTGGCCTATGTACAAAGTAAACTTACAGTAGCTGTGTTTCCATCTCACTGTACTGAATGTATACCTAGTGATGTTATTGAATTATTATCAATTAATGTAATAAATATACTGGTAGTAGTGTTATTATGTGTAAGTATTAATACTGCTCTTCGATCTCTGTAGCAAATACAGCGAAGATGGGACTAGTTGAGACCAAACTTGCGATTATTCCTGGAGCAGGTAAGGCAGGATTTCTTATTTCATAATGATCATAAAAGTCATTGAATCATTAAATAAACATTTCACAAATTCATAATATTTCACATAGCATGGTACTGTGGAGTTCTTTGTGAATTGATGTGTGTTTTTAGGACCTCCCGTCAGGAACTACCCCATGTGGTGTTTATTTTTTAAAGAGGATTGCTAATAGGCTACATACACTGATGGTGCAAAACAAGTTATCTTGAGGTCTGCTGTAGAAATTCAGAAGAAATGTGAATAAATGAAATCTGAATGACCACAAGCAAGCAAGCTGACTAATTTACTTACTTATTTACTACAGGCCTGATTTAGATAAAATTGGTGGAATGTGTAGCATGGGCTAAGGCAGAACCCATTAAAGTTCCCTCCAGTCAAAAATCTAGGTTTCTAGGTACCTGCAGTGTGATGTTTGATGTTTTATGTATGTGTGTATGGGCCTGCCAGCATGATTTTCAATTCAATGCAGTTTTATTTG